CAAACAGATAGAGGAAGAAAATTTCACCTGGTTCATGAGAAGGGAACCGTGTCGCTCCTCCTGGGGAGGCCGGCTGTGCAGCCATGGTGTAACTCACACGGACGTAAGGAAATGGCCTCGTGTTCCCCTTTCCCCTGGGTTTCTACCCCAGTGGTGCACAAGAGCCGCCCCGCTCCGGGAGCTGCCCATTGTCCCGAGGCACCTGGCTGTGACGGGAGTCCCGGGCCGGGAGCCGCCTTCCCCCCTTCCGCCCTCGGGATCCCTCCCGCCGCCTGCCCCTGCCCTCCCGGATCCAACCCTGCATTTGTGGAATGTGGCTGCCTGGCTTCTCCCCATCCTCCCCCTGACCCCTTAATACTGTTTAATCTTCCTGAGGACGAAGCTGCCCTACAAAGCCGAGTTGCTCGTTCTGCATGTCTAGGCGCCAATCCCAAGCAGGGAAAATGAATGTGAATGTACAGCTCCCCCACAGCAAATGATGAAAACAGCAAATAAGGGCACAATTTCCATTTTATGGCTTCTGAAACTTTAGTAACAGTAAGAATCAGCTTGGAAGAGAATTTTGGACAAGTCCTTCACACTCAGATAAGTTGCTTTAGTGGGATGAATATATTTTCCTTTTGTTTTGCTGCTCCCAAGATTTACATTAGCCCCTAGAATACTAACTCTTCCCTGTTTGCATTGAAAATGGAGTAGGACTGAATCTCTTAAGCAAACATGCATTTAGAAGACTCTCTTCTATTTTATTAAGCTTTACCTTTGTGCATCTAAATGGATAAAATATTCTATTTGCAGCTAAATAAAAACAAACCACGGAAGCATAAACACACCTAAGCTGACAAAAGACCCTCTAATTATACAAGAAGCAATTAGAGAGCAGAAGAGGATTGCCGGTGTGATTCGCCTCTATCCCAGTGCTCAACTTCCCCCAGAGGACAAGCCTGGCCGCGGCTCATCAGGGCAGCAGCAGCGTCCGGGCGGCCACGCGCAGAGGTGCCCGTGCTCAGCCACCTAACGGCACCGTCACTGTTCCCTATTCCAAAGGCAGCTCCCGGTTTGGGAATTGTCCCACTTCTCTGGTGGTACTGGGTTATGGTACAGGGACACACGCACGTGTGACCTGGTGCACTAGTGGCCTAGCAGGTAAAGCCCGTCTTTTGGAAGGAAAAGGCGTCTAAAATATCAGATTCAGATACAAATCTGCCTTCCTCTCTTAGCCAAGCTCTCAGTTTATATTTTTTTATTATCTATTGCAAAAATAAATACATATGAGAGAACTGAGAAAGCCTACTGCTCATTAAAAGCTCAGCAAGATACTTTGGAGAGCTGCTGGCGCTATCTGGAACAGCCACACAACCACCATCATTAAGGAGATGCCTGCCTTTCCTGGATCCCCGGCTTTGGGGGCTGTAACATACATAAATGTCACTTATCTAAATATTTGAATGCAATACTTGAGCCTTGTGTCTCTACAGGAAACAAAAGAAACTTATCAGGATAGTTTGGCTTTGTAAAAAAAAAAAAAAAAGCCTTGCAGTATTTCTAATTTAATTTATTTTCTTTCTTTTTTATTTGTGGCATAAATGCAACTTTTAAATCAATATTTATGTTTAGGGTGGAGAAATATTAAAAGCTCCTCAAGCAACAAACTTCTGAAATCGGACAGGACTGCAATGCAGACTTTAATTGCTACCCAGCTCCATCAGTCCATGGAAAGTGCTGGGTGGAAGAGCCCGAAGTCTCCACGGGCGCATCCTGCACAGCCCCCTCGCCAGGGGCACAGCTCGGCCACGGAGCTGCAGCTCCAGCAGGAACACACAGCGCGGGGCAAGAGCGCTACCGGCACCCTGGGAAAAACCCTTCCCAAAGGGCTCCGACTCGGCGAGTCCTCCCTCCTTACACTAAGCATTAAAGATGAGATTCTAGCAACCAGAATCTCTGTGGCTATTGGAGGAAAACAAACATTTTGTTTATATATATATATATATAAAAGATCAAATTTGCCCAGTACTGCAACAGATCCGCAGCATCTCACCAGGAACGTGTCTGAAGCAGCCACGGTGACCTGGACTCACAGCCTTGACCTGCCGTTGGAGGTGACAACCCGCCCTGCAAAGCAGAAGTTGAGCCAGTCCCACTGCCACTGTATTTCGGGTTTATTCCCCATATAACCCAAGGATGAGAAGGATAAAGCCATGCACCCTGCCCAGAAAGCGGGCGCACACATGGACCTTGCTTTTCGCCCAGCAGTGAGCGCAGTCCAGTCCTACTCACTACTCACTGGAGCCTTTCTCGCCATTTGAGAGCCGATCCCCTCCTCCCCACTAGTTAAACCTCGGCTGCCTCTGTCGCTCTTGCTACTTGTTGACTATCGTGAGCGCCCAAGTGAAGGAGGGCCCCAGCCCTCCCTTCGCTGCCTTGTCCTCTCGTAGCCTTCTCAAGACACCTTCTTCATTCCTACGGCTTTGCCCTGGGATAGCTGGCCAAAATACTCCTCAGGGTGAACGAGAGCTCTCCTGCCATGGAGACCTGTCCCACAATGTCGTGGTGTGACAGAAGCCATGGTTAAAACAATTCTGTTTTAAATAGCCCCTTAACTAGCATCCGATCAACATCTACCAAGATGAGACCCAACGCTACAAACTCTCATACATGCAGATAATTGTTTGCAAAGATTTATCAGCAATCAGCTAAAGCGCTATGCAAAGGATTTCAGGATATTTGCTGGCATTTTTTTTGTTAGCTAACAACTGCAGGTACGTAACTGTGCTTAGGAAAGCTAGAAACAAACTTACTATAGGGCGCGAGATAATGAGTTAAAATTAAAGGTTGCTGCTGGCTTGGCAGCCCATCCCCCGTTAGCTAATCTGTCATGTAATGAAGAGAAGCACCTAGCGCGGGACAGCTCGCTGCCGGCTCGCTCACCGCGAGCTGATTAAGAATGTTCCACCACCAGCAGACTGCAGACCTTTCCAACAAAAATAAATAGACTGTATGCAAATGTGTTTGTCACTTTGACAGCATGTCTCAATTAAAGCATCTCGCTGCTGCTGGTAGCCTCGCTCGCTGCAGCGGTATGGACGGGGCTTACTGCATTACTGATACACAGGGCTTGACCCTAATCCACATGCATGCATTTTAAAAAAGTCTGCCTTTGCCATATACACTCGCATAATACTAGCAGACACAGAAAGCAAGTGACAATGAGAAAAAAGCCTCTTTCATCCTCTTCGGTTTATAAGAGCTGTGAATGCACAAACAGCCCTTATTTCAGAGTTCTGGTGGCTTTTTAATTGTTCCCACCTACTGTATCCCAGGCAGAGTTAAAAGTGACACTGAAATCTCTCCCTTTAATCACTAGTTAGAAGCCATCTCCTGTTTAAACAGTAAATTTTGCTGTTTTTCCCCCTCCAAAAGCCTTAATTTATTTTTCATAGACCTGAACACCTTTCCTTTTGCATGAAAATGTGATTTAATTTTCAATTTGGCATTGGGTTATCAGCAAAAAGGGACCTGTGAAAGGACAAAGGCTCGAAGCGAGGCAGCCCTACAACTGCCAAGTTAGCTAATTTTTTGGAAACCTGACATTTGTAATGTAATGGCAGTAATAAGCATTTAGCAAGCGAGTCTTTCACCGCAGTCAGTGGTTCACTAGAGCTGATGTTGTGTTTCCTTTGACACAGAGAAAGTGATCATTAAAAAATTTGAAAGTGGCCATTAAAAAAACTCATGAATTTAAAGTCACATTTTCCACTTGATTATACATTTCATTAATCTACCAAAATGCTTGAACTATTCATCTTTCATAGAAATCTAAAGAGAAAAAATGAAAATACACTATAGTATTATCTGGAATTCTGGCTGTTTTAAAGGAAATGTAGCATTTTCCTGCTAGAGATAGGTGGCTATATTTCTCCAGTAGCCTCAATTCCTCTCAGCTGTATTGGCATGGAAAATAAGTGAAAAATAAATCACTACTGCAAATATTTAATTGGAAAGGAATCTGTTTGAAAAAAAGCCTTCAACCACTTACATTCTGCACAGTTGCCAAAGTTCTGAAATGACAGAGAGACCTGAAAATAAAATGCTCTGAGCAGTGGGGTATGATGTATCTGATGTAGCTCTGCTTAATATCGAAGCAGGCAGTGCAGTTATACTGACTTGCTTCTATTATTAAATGCTCATCTATAAATCTGGTTTGCCTCACATTTTAATTCCCATTCCTTTTATAACTGCTTTTGTTTATAATTGTTTTAAAATCACTTTTCCTTAGGTGAAACCATGTATTTACTTCTCTCATGATAATAATACTGTAAAAGAAAAAAAATTGCAAACCAAAATAATGTTACTTTCTGGGAGAAACAAACACTTTTGAGTAAAACGCTGGCAAATTCATAGTGAGCATTGTACATTTTTCTGTGATAATCACAACAAATGTAACATCTTCTAAATAATTAGCTCTTAACAAAAGAAACCAAAATCGCTCTTTTGCAAACATATTGAAAGAAACATTGTAGGAGTAACTAATGTGCATAGCTCAATTGTCAATACTGAAATAGAAAGTACACTAATAAGCTATTAATTGATTTTTCTATCTTAGCTCACCGCTTTTAATTTTCAAATAATGTTAAAATGCTTTAATAGTTGGATGTTTTGTGTTGACACTAATGATCTGGCTACATAACAGAGGATATTTTAAATTATACACCATTAGCCTTGGGAGCCACAGCATCTTTGCACGCTAAAAGAACAAAGTAGATTATAAAATTGTTTTAATGATTTTGTGTTTTTTTCAGATGGAGTTAGAATATGTTTTCCTCCAAAAACACTGTGTGAACAGAAGGAATCAGTGAACACCACAAAGGAAGGTTTTTGAATCCCATTTATACAGGTATGTCATTCAACTTCAAAAGTTAAAGAAATGATTGGCATATCCTACACAGTGCCTTTCCTCTGAACTCTTTGTTTTCTTTTTGGAGTTTAGAGAAAGCAACACGTACCTGCCCAAAATGCACTGTGATGGGTCTTCTATCTTCCCTTAACCTAGGGTCCTTCTTTTCAACGGCAGGAGAAGGTGCTGGCCGTGGCAGAGCCTCTTCAGGTGCCGCAGAGCAGCCGTTCTCTGCGATGTCCTGTGTGAGGAAAGGCAAAGAGCATGGCCAGGACATCCCTCAGGAAGGGAAGGGGCACCGGGAGACACTAGCATTTTGGTGTTATGAAAACAAGTACAGAAAAGTAAACATTATTCGAATAAAACATCCTATTGCACTTTGCCAAGCCAAGCTTGGGCACACCCAAAACCAGTGCTCCTTGCAAACACCCAACGTGTGCAGGAGCATCTCTGACTTAAACCAGCAAAAGCCAGGAAACGTGCAAGGAGAATAACCAGCTCGACCCCCTATTTGAGGAACATGGAAAGCCAAGAACAGGCTCATCCTGCTTTTGCGAAGCTCCCGAAAGCTGGAATTGCCCCCCAAACCTTCAATCCCTTTGCAACAATGTGGAGGAAATAATGCTCGGTAAATATAGAGAGAAAGCCGCACACATGGCAGCTCTGCAAGCCTGACCCCGGGCTGGCGGCTGCCACCGACACCGCTTTGATGGCCTGCCCTTTGCCATGGCCCCGCGAGGCCCCGGCTTGCTCAGGTACAGTAATGAGCCGTGTAGGCTGATGGCCAATTAGGAGCGGGGCTTTTGGACACCGGCTGACCTAATGTGTTTAGGTCAAATGAAACAAAAAGCTGGCTGGACTTTCTAAGGGGCTTTGTGTGCTCCACACAGAGGCTGAGAGACCTTTTTAGCTCCAGCTGGCAGAGCGGTGGTTCAGCACCGTGGGCACTCAGCGCGCCACGAAATTAGCAACTTCGGAAAGGCAAACTAGAGAGAAAAACTTTTTCCTTCCCCCCAGCAGCTGCACAATGCTACCTTGTCTGGAACAAATACAACAAAGTACACTGGGTTAGCAACAAAGAAGCCTAAAAACAACTCAAGCACAAAAAATGTAAGTTTTTCTAAAAGTTGCAATACTTGAGCTCTAAGCCAGCAACAAACCAGCAAAGGAACCGCTGCCACAGAAGGAGGGGAGGCCGCACACACTGTTCTGCAGGGCAGCAGATGAACAGAAACGCCATTTCCCTGTCCCTACACCAGCAGGGCCATGGCACGGTGCCAAGCTGTGAGCCTGTCCTGCGTGGGCCAGGATGGGACAGGCAGAGCCAAAGCTCCTCGTGTGTGGGAAGGCCTGGCCTCCATGAGAGGAGCTAGATACTGGGAGTCAACACAACGCCGAGCATCCTCCTTCCAGGCAGGATTCCCCAAGAAACAGGCACCAAAGTTTGGAGATCAGGGCAATGAGAGAGTGAGGAGATAAAGACTACAGACCGAACAAGTTGTGACGCCAAAAAAAGCCAGGCTTCCCAATGGGGACAGACGCACGGAGTCTCCCGGGGACGCCCGGCCCGGCCTGCCACAGTGGCCACCACGCACCTCAGCAAAAGGGATTTTCTTCTCGCTCATTTTATTCAATATGAAAAATAACTGATGTGATGCCTCAATATTCACTCAAAATCCTGAAAATTCACACAAAGGAACAACACAGTTTCTGTCATCGAAGCTAAATTTGCCTCACAAAAGCCTGTTTTCTGCCTTCAAATGAAACATATCTGAGCCTAATAAACAGAGAACTGGCTTTAAAATGGCTGCAGTGGTGCTCACAGCATCGAGGAGTCCTCCAGCCCTCCCAAAAATGGAGGAAAAATATCGAGAAAGGCAGAAACTTAACAATGTTTCAGTGGCCTTTTAATGAAAATAAAGTGTAATTTAAGAACACTATTAAAAATATCCCACACTTATTGCTTGAGGGGAAAAAGTATTGTACTGATTGGTGGAAAAAGAGAATGACAACTCTCTATCGTACTCCATAATTTATATAAACAGCACGTCCCCTAATGCCTGTCCCTGCAGGGGAAGTCTTTGCTAAACTGAGTTACGAATTTAATATCTTAATGGACTGTGACAGAGAGGAGACCGCTTATTTATCTATTTATTTTAAGGGAGAAAATCCCAAAACTTTAAAGAATGAGTAAAATAGATAGGCAGATATGTAAAGTTAGATATGTAAACTGAATAAGGTTTTCTTCCACTGAAATAAACATTATGAATATTTCCAGGATCTCTGTTTCATGGCCCACAAATGTTATCCATCAGAAACACAAGCAAAACATGTCAGAACATCTAGAGAGATTCTTTTAATTATTTTATAAATCTCTAAATGAGATGTTTTCAGCTGTACCAATAACAAAGCCCTAACAGTCCACTGATACCAGACATTAACTAGAGCCACATAGGGATCTAGTAAGTAAAATAATTTTGAATACATTAATGCCAAGTGCCCAGCCATTTATAAACTGTCTTATCCAGCAGCTGTCAGTAAGTAATATTCTCCTTACTGAAAGTTGAGGATGGTACCATTCACATTCTTCCTTCTTCCTAATTCTATGCAGTTAAGCTTCAAACGAGGCCAGTAACAGAGTGACTTGACCACCATGCTCCATTTGTGAAATGGAAAAAGCTGCCTTTACAGGGGGAAAAAGGGGAAAAAAGAAAAGAAAAAAAGAACAGAAAAAAAGTACTGCAGCAGATATAAAATAAAGCTACCATGCTGTATCTATTAACAATTATTTGCTATCACTCATAAGGATTCTCTGAAAACTATTTCTGTTGCTTTGAAATACTGTACCACAAATGAACAAGGGATGGAAATAGAGCCCCATTCAATCTCTACTATCATATTAAAGAAGGACCTTACACACACCACAGTGACCTCTCAACAGGTCAATCCTGCATTTCCCATTTGCAATTCAAACCCAAGACTGGAGCAGACCAAGGGCAAAATGGGCTCTTGATTATATTTAAGAGGTCATCATTGCTATGCAGAGTTGTAGGAAGCAGACCTCTAGCTTTATTGCATTTTTAAATTCCATCTTGTACAGACACTGCTCATATTTGGCAGTGAAAACTGGAAAAGGGATGTTTATATTTGACTTTCCTTACCAGTGGCCTGCATTCTTTCTGTGTTAACCAGAAAATAATATCTGTTATTCTGTTAAGTTCAATTTAAAAAGAATCTTAAGCTATACTTAGAGCATGGAAGAGGTGCACTCCAAATCTGATAAAATTGTGTTTAATTATGTCAGAATTTCAAACACAAAATAACCATATATTGCAAGAATATACCTGAAAAATACGATATCCTAAGATGAAAATCGGTAAGGATGCAGTAATGGACTTATTAACAGAGCATCAAAGACACTTTGCTTGAAAATAATGTTTGTGAGTTGCCAAAACAATACTTCTTATTTTTATCACCCTAAAGAGAGCAATACCTCTTTTCAGAGTTATCTTGTAACGGTGCATTCAAAAAGCAGAAAGGAATGGAGCTGAAAAAGAGCAGATTTACTGAAGGAAAGAGAGGTAGAATAGTGTGTGTCAATTATTTATAGAAGTCTTAAACTCTTGTGAAAGCACATGTTTAACGATCTTACTTACAGAAATGCTAAATAATAAGGAAGGTGAAACAAAATTGGCCCATTCATTTGTAAATGTTATGTGTATTTTAAAAAGAACAGTTGGTGTTTGAAGGACTAGGTAGACAAGAGCAATGAAACAAAGCAATGAATGAATGAATGGAGAAGCTTCTCAATATTTTCTACAAAAAATTCACAGACTAGGATATAATCATATTAGCATTTAAAAACAGGAAATCAATTTAGTCATTTTGCACAATACCAACTATGTTAGATGCACATGAGAAGCTCACACAGAGTCATTATTCATGAAAGTTACATCCAGAAGTAAAACATTAGGAATGACAGAAAAAAAAATGTGTACAGGCAAGCGTTCTGTGTTTCTATCTAGTATTTTAATATTACAGCCAAAGTGGCACAGGTAAAGTAATAAATGCGATAAAATCAAATATCATGAAAATAATCTGAACCAACTTTATCTTTTCCATGCATCTTTAACCATTTGCTGAAATTTGTACTTAGAGGGCTAACAACATTTAGATTGTTTATTCCAAAAGGTTGTAACCTGACTTTAGAATAACCCCTTTGTGGGGGTTATTATTTTGTCGGTATGGTTAGGCAGACTTCTGATCACACCAAAGGAATATATTTGCAGTGGTACCTTAAGACGGTGGTGTCAGATTTAGAGGGAAAAAAATACTGAAATACCACACTTAAAAAAAGACCCCACCAATTAATACACAATAAATTGAAACAAAAATCTGAATGAGAGCTTCACAGTTATATTAACAAATTAGCTGCTTTATTCCCAGTAGACTCTTAATAGCTCTGATTCACAGAATAAATAGAGTATCTGAAATAAACCTAAAGGCAGAATTAACCATTCCTCCATTCAGTATGTATCAATATGACCATGCATCTGGCTTAAAATAGGCAATTAATATTGGATAACACACTCCTTGAACACAGATCAGCATTCCCAGAATCTTACTGTTTACAAACAAAAAAGCCATTCATAGAACAACAAACAGTTTGAGTATGTCTTGCTGCAAAATTCAAATTTAAAATGAAAACCAAATCTGATATAATTTATTTGTGCTGAACTTTAAAGTCGATACTCATGAAATGCGTAAATCATCTGGCGAACGACAGACTCTGTGTTATTTTCCCCGAGACATTACTGTTGAAATAACAACCATTTGCCATTTGGAGAAAGTTCACTGCCATGACTGCCCCGATGCGCGAGGCCCCAGTACAAAGGAGAGGAGAGGGACCCCTCTAAGCAGAGCACTCAATTTTCTGGCTTTTGTGGGTTTAAGTCAGAGCCTTAGTGTATTTGAAGATAGTTTTTTTTGTCTGTGAATATTTATAACAGTGTGAAAAATCCAGGGCAGCTGGTAATGCATTTTGAAGTGTGCTAACAACACTGTATCAAACAGCTTCCTATTGATCACATAATGCTTTTTGTGGCTAAGTATTTCATACATGGTGCTTATACATTTTGAATAAAAACTTCAAGTACCTTTTGCTTCAAGCGGTTTTTCACTTCTTTTATTCCCATTTTTGCATGATCTTTTGCCTGCATGAAAAATTAATTTAAGTTAAAATCCCCTTCTATTTCCAGCAGTGACTATGCTTGATTTCAGTGCATCAAGATTTACAAGATTCACCTTCTCTAGTTACTAAAAAAGGCATTGAAAAAAATGGCACAAGGGACCAAAAACAGATAGTAAAACAAATAAAAAGCTAAAAAAAAAATCACTCAATGCTGCAGAATTTTTGATTTCTCTGTCTTGAGAGCAGAGACATCTTTTGTCTTTTCCCCTTCCAGACTTCAGGTCTTCCCTTTGCTATATTTACCTTTGCTATAAGTTAGCAATCAATAGTGATAGCAAACCTTGAAACTCCCTCCTTGCAGTGCTCTGGATGCCAGTTCCACTTAGCAGAGCTAATCTAACCCTACTCATCTCTCAGGCTGGAAGGGAAAGGAGGAAAAATGTGAACACTTAAGTCAAATCTTCTTGCAGCATTATCCCCTACGATTCCGTGTATAAGAAATCCTCAATTGTTTCAATGTTGCCTCCTGTATAGTGAAAATGTACAATAATACAGTAATATAGTAGCTATTATGTGTATATAATCCATATAGCTCTTATATACTAGCTATTTTTAACAGAGTTGAAAGCATTTTCATTTTAAAAACCTCAAAAAATCAGTAAGTTGGATTCTAAATAAGCAAGTATAAAAAGAGAATACAAAAACATTAACATTGAAATTTAGAAAAGCTGGAACAATCCAGGAAATGAGAGGATTCCCTTACTTCAATGAAACTGCAAGCACAGAAACCTCAGCTAACAATGGATTTCCAGCAGGGTAATGATAAGGTGGTAGAGCTGCTTAGTACAGAATATAGGCACGATTTCCCAGAAGTAGTTCTGTTTAATAAATAGGATGCATACTTTCAAAAGAAATCACAGGTTCTCCTTTCCATTTGCATTTCTGCTGTGTTTAGAAAAAGTTAATTTTAAAATATTTATTTCATTTACATTTGAAATTTAGAGGAACACACATCTTAAAGTAGTGTTGAGCACGATAAAAATGAACTTAAGCCTTGAGTCTCCCTTGAAAGGTTAAAATGGAATTGTGATTAGACTCGTCTCTCACTAGTAAGCCAGTACTCAATACTTACAAATTTATAGACAGTCTTCATGGCAGGGTTAGCCTTGGTCTTTACTGTATTTAGAATGGCTCCACTTCCTTTCTATAATTAAGATAAAAATGGAATAAAATTTGTCAAAGCTCTTTAAAACAAAAAACAACCCAAACCCCAGTGTTTTTAACAACTTAACAGAGATTTAACTATGCTTATTAGAAGATCTGAATATTAAAATGGTAAATTAAAAAAAAAATCCTAAGAAAAAAATATTTGACCTTCCTCATTTTCCACAGGAACCCCAATTCTGTTCAGCACACCAGTTTTCAAAGCGAAAACATCAGTTTCTCCTAATGGCAAGACCCCTTGTCTTATAGTCCTCTCATCAAACCAGGATTCTGTGGCTGTTCTAGTCAGCCTTGAGGATGTCCTGCACATGGCATATTTCTAGGAATAAAGTATTCTATCAAATAATCAAATCTGGAGCTGAAAATTCAGTTCCAAGAAAGCCTGTGTCTTCACATTCTGAAGATGTGAGATCCTACTTGTAAATATATTTTCCTTTTTAGCATCCCACTATACTATTATCAAAATCATGCTGCCTTTTTAGGATCTACATACTAGATTAGAGGAAAAAAAGAGGCAAAATGAAACATAACTACAGCCAGCCATAAACCTAATTCTAGAAATAGTAGATTTCATGTGCAAACATAAAAATAATATAAAACAATAATATGTCAGACAGAACAATCTGCTAAGTCTTGTTGGTGTTTTATATATATCTTCCACACACCCTAGGCCATTGCTGCATAGTACCTTATTTCATTTCACAGATGTAGCATCCTACATGTATACGTGCATATATTCTATATATTTAAACATACATATATACATATAAATATACCCACATTTATCTCTTTGATGGGGGATTTTTTTTTTTCTTGCATTTTACCGTTTTAAGGTGTGTTTAATACAAAACAATCAGGAGTCCCAGTTTTGCGTTCACTGGGCCAGTAAAACCTGGAGAGTGTGTTGGAAAAATATCGTGTTCTTACCCTTACTGTGGAGAGCCACTGGAGGTACAATTTGTCACTGCCTGGAGAGAATCAAAACAAACAAATAAACAAAACTGCAGCTCAAATAAACAAAAAAACAGCTGCAACAGGAAGCATTAGCACTTAGCAAGTCTGGTAGCACAAATACTACAGAAACAGAATGGACTGTTCCATAAATGAAAATAAAATAATCAAGAATTGTCCAGATACCTTCAATTTTTCTTCTACTTGCTCATAGGATTTCTATTCTCTTTGGGTTCTCTTTCAGATATTTGAGAACATTGAGATATTTCTTTTTCAAGCTTGTTGAAAGAAATTTTCAGCTGGTTCTTGGTAAAGCCAAGGTTTTTTCACTATCCTGCATTGCAAGAGCTCTTTATTTGTACTTTAGCCAAGTGGGAAACCTGAGGCTTTATAAAGGCCAAGCAGACATTTTCAGACTACAATACGTTATTCAAAGTTTTTAAAAAGGAAAGAACAAAAATTTAAGACACTTCAAGATACGGGATCATGGCTGCCTCACACACCTAGACGAGTGATCACAGTGACCCATCTGATCAGGCCTCAAACAGGTCAGAGGCAGTCTCCAAAATTACTTAAAAATACTGCGTTTCTTACCAGCATATTCTCCCATATTTATCTCTTCTTCGAAGACATCACTGAAGCCCTCTCCAGAGTTAAGAAGATCCAGGCGGCCATCAATGAACTACAATATCAGCATAAGAGAAAGTGCCACCATGTCAACCCCCCCATGCTTTGGCTTTTCAGGACAGCCAAGCGCATCTGGTAGCGGCCGCGCGGCGGTACCTGCTTGAAGAGCTGCAGCTGGATGGCGTTCTGCAGGAACTGCCGCGTGGCGGCGGAGCGGTGCGACACGAACGCCTCCTCGCAGAAGGTGATGGGCTCACCCTGGGGAGGAAGCACGGAGTGAGCACGCCTTCCTCTTATCTACTTCCAATATACGTAAAGTAGATACATAAGCAGATGTTATAAAAAAAGTAGTGTTTTTCTTCAGGTTAGCACGTGGAGAGAACAGAGCTGCTTTTCATCATGATACTTAGAAGCAAGTCGGAAACCAGGGGAAATTGCTTATGATCAAGATGCACCACATTTGCTTTCTGCATGTTTGGCTAATGCTGGCGAGGGGGCTCTCACGCTACCCAGCAAGGCGAGCAAGACCCAGTGTCTCCAGTCCACAGGCCACGTCACCTGCATGGGGCAGACCCACAGCGGACCCACGCTCACCAGGCCAGCATTTCTGCTGTGTTCTAGCCACAGTGCACAAAGATTAGACTTTCATATATGGAACCAAGAGAAATTCCCCCTTTTCACAAGCTTGTTGGCAAAAGACAGAGATTGTTTTGCAGCTCCACTTTTATCTTATTTTAATGAGTTATGTTAATGCTGAAGGCTGCTGTGCATCTGCTGTAAGGCACAAATTTCCTCCACGCTTGAATCTACAAATACTCAGCATAGCAAGTAAATAAATTAAAAACAATAAAGTATGATAAAATTATATTGATATGTAATTAGTATGGAGGGATTTAGATTAGATAGCAAAAAGCCCTGAAGAACCACTTTAAAAGTGTGATATGATATCAATCCTGAAAGCCTTTTAGATTAAAAATCTGATTGACTGTAGGCTGTCTAATGAAAGGATGACAGGACCACCAAACAGACCGTACTTGAGAAAACACACCACAGCTTACTCGAGCGTCTTGTCTTTTCCATCATCAGATTACAGCTCCAGGATAATTAATGTAATTTTAAACTGTACTTATCTGCCAGTGATTGACTCTAGGTATGGGGAACAATACAATCAATATAACATTTACAGGCAAGAATGGCCATGTTTCTGCAGCTTGCTCTCGACAGGGTAAGGTATAAGACACATTCTTCAACATAACCAAAGGGAAAATGTTGGAAAAGATCGGCATGGCAGGATGCAAGATGACGGAGACAATTCTGCGCTGGCAAAGGCTCTGCCCCTGAGCTCCAGGCATGTACTGTCTGAAATGCTTTAACACATCCGAATGACTAGTAACTGACCTGGCACTCGTGCTGGTGGATGGGGAGCAGGGACAGAACTGGACTGCTGTGTGAGCTGGAAGTGCCAACCGGGGATCGCAAGAAGTGATCGGCAAGGAGAAAAACCCATTTGTTGATTTTGAGATGGGACTGACAATTTGGATTAACATAAGCTGCTCACATAAGGACTTTATACATTATATTCAACTATTGCCATCGCAAGCCAGATCTGTTCAACCTTTCCCAGGCGGGATCTGTTCAACCTTTCCCTCGGGCAGCAGGAGTGACGGTGGGCACGGGACCGCGATGCAGGCCGGAGCGCAGGAGAGGTGACGACGAGGCAGCCGCGCAACGGGCCCAGGCCACAGGACGGCAAACAACGGCATTCAGAGGCCATTCGACCCATGTGAAAAAGACTTTCCATCAAATTCAGCGTTCACAGTGCAGTAAAGGCTGTCTGAAAAATATCTGTGGCTGGCACGCATTCAAGGTGGGGCGTAAAAAGAACAGAGAAAGCCATGAAGAAAAGTGCAGATTTAGTAGGGGAAAAAGTCCACCAGAGCTAGGCTCGGGTTTCATTTACCTCTCACAAAATACTTGAAAAGAGAACCAGCAACCCCTGGTGCCATCGTGCAGCACCCCTCGGGCAGCAGGGCGCGTTCGGAGCCCCGCGTCGCGCTCCTCCCGCCGCCCGGCCCCGCATTACTGCAGTGTGAACACGCTTCCTCCCTCCAAGTACTAATGATTGAGTTTGTTCATTAGGCTGATTAGACCTTTTGACTTCTTAAGAGCCAATTCAGGCTCAACTGCTGCTGGATGGAAAGAAAAACTTTAATCATCAAGGTCAAGCGTGAGCTTGCCCGCTTAGCATGCATTAGCGGCTCCCGGCCTCCCTGACCTCCGGGACGGGAACACTCTCTTTCTTAACCCCATCCACGGCTTCATTACAAAAAGGCAAGATGGTCTGTAAGACCATTTTCTGGGCAGATTTAGTTAGGTGTAAATTATAAAGCTAATCGGCTCTGCTTTTACTGACAGATGACACTGTACAAGAAGAGACATGCTAAAAACTGCAGATGTTCTGAAAAATTAATAGTCTTGCTCACATGTGAAACAATTATAATGACTTGTCCTAATAAACTTATTGGCTTCTAAACTTTCTGTTTCCCATAGTTGGGATTTAGACCTTGACTCACCAACAGATTAAATCTCCGTTCTTGTCCTCGACAACTATAAAAGCACAACGAGGGCCAAGGCACGGCACGGCAAAAGCTCTAAATGTGGCACACACTGATCGCATGGTAAATCTGATTTGATTTGCACTATTGGATGATAGATATATATTTCACATTTGGACTCCAACATTATTTTATAAATACAAAAATACACACATTTCAAAGTAGTTTAGTTTGTAGTCTAACACAGGAGAAGAAACTTAAAAATATGAGGACTTAAGACCCCAGATACATTGTAAAAATAGGTGTCTTTCCTTCACAGCTTTGCAAATCTCCCTTGATATGAATATTTTATATTCATACAGCATAATGAAGTTCATCAGGGCAGTGCTGCTATTTCCTGACCCCTTAAAAAGCTGAAGTTTCAGCCCACATCTGAGCTGTTGCCAGTCAATTGAAATTGGAATCCTATTACAAACTAAAATAATGTTTAATACCTACCTAAAGCTGCAAGTGAAAAAGGAAACCAGAGTATTTCATGCTGTCACGGAGTTGCATGAAACCTGCTGTTATATCTTAAGAAGCCAAAGAGCTTACAGCAGCCACTTTCACAGTGAATATAAAGGACTAAAAGTCTGGGGGGGCAGAGAAAACAGCAGATGAAAGGAGGTCTTAGAGGAAGGGAGAAGGGCAGACACTGGTGACACCTCTGGCAGAACCCCCAAGCGCCAAGACAGCTCATGGAAGGCCAAGTACTTCCCTCTCGCAAGGGAGGAAACACTGAAGAGCGCATCGCGAACAGGGCGCTAAAGCCATCATACGGCTGCTGGGAAAGACAATAAAATAATACAGACAGGGTTTGATTAGGGCAGCAGTGAGAGTCTCTTGGACAAGTAAGGATCTCATACAACCTGATTCCAGGGTAGAAAAAACAACCCACAGCCTGAAGGCTTCGTTTAGACAATACTAAAAGTTACACCATGGACGATGCGCGTAACGTCGCCCACATTATCACGGCCAGCATGTGGTGCAGGGTAATGAATTTTGTGCTGCTGTACGCATGCCTTTAAACCATGTAGGTGCTCTTTCAAAGTCTCTAATAAACACGCAAGCCATTAGAGCTGCTCTGTAAACTAGTCATGGAATGAAAAAATATGGAATATGGAATTTAAGGGCGCAGAACAGGATGGCAGTCTGATAGTCCACACGCTGCAAATCCAGTGTCTGCACACAGTGCAGCAACTCCAAATACCCAGCAAGAACAGTGACATGGAGAGATTCATATATCACAGATTTATTACTAACTAGGTGTTGCAAAAAGCTCCGGCCTTTACAAAAACTGATTAGGTTGCAAAGCATAAAGCCTGTAGTGACATCCCTTTGTCCTGAATTCAACCCAGAATTATAATGAAACTAAGATAAGAGGAAGGTCCTACTGATCTGGATGTATATGTCAAACTCGGCTACAACAGCAACCAGCAGCAAACACTCTGCAGACCTTTCCAGACCCGCGATTACCGTGTCAAGGAAAGAGGAGCTCATCAGAGCTGAAGAAGGCTGATCAGGCAGCCAGCAGGACTCCATAAAGAAAACCCGAAATTGGTGGCAGACACTCGATAAGACGTTGGCTCATTCAGCTTGCATTTGCAACGACAAATAACCTCCCCATAACTAGTACATATGTTCAGCACAAGAGAGCTCTTTGCATCTGCCTCAGTCATAATGGAAAGCACAGATCAAATACTCTGTATTAAGCAAATGATGGCACAGTTTTATTAGCATTTCAAGATGCTGCTCAGGAACAAAGAAATCATGTGCTCAGAGATTTGACCACACTTCTCGGAAAGCAAACTAACAGTTCAGAGACCACTTTAACTGTTCCCATGAATTAGCACAGCTAACAGAAACTACACAGATTACTTCAACGTGAAAGGTGTGATCTTGCAAAGTATTTCAAACATATATATTTACCAATAAAGGCTGGCAAATACACCAATGAACTGCCCCATCACTGGGTCCTACCTAAATGCCCACTTCAGCCAGTAAGGACTTTATATCATGCTGTTTTTCATACAGTTATTGAAGGCATCACCATTTACCAGCTGGCTGCCAGTGAGGTCGAAACACATTTATGCATAATTAAATTCTAAATGCAAAAATACAATATGCAGATATTCAATCTTCAAATCTGGTTTAACGCTGTCATTAGAAGCCTACAGCTAACACTGCTTCTTTTATGCCTTTAATAACACACTCTGTCATTAAGCTTCGATCAATTCTACAAATATCCAAAATATCTTAAGATTAAAAAATATATATATATTTTAGGCATATTACAACTACTATGAGACTTTTGTAGAAACAATATGAAATAAGGTGTGTGCATTAAAACCTTGCAAGAAAACTACTTCAAATGTGAATAATCAGCAGAAGCTCAACAACACTTTAGTATATTAATTCAGACAGTAACAACCAACACCTTTAAGGATCTACCAAAATTTGAAAAGCAAAACAAACAAACAAAAATGCAAGATGAAACTAATAGGAAAAGGAGTAAACGGAAAAAAGCTTAAATCACACAGCAGTGTAGCTGTTTTATCTTCTCCCTGCGGCCCCTTTTACTTTATTAGGTCACTTGGCGTTTTCCTCTTGGGCCAAAGCACGGTGACACACACCCATATTTACAAATTCTGAGCCGATTCAGTG